TTGCTTCCCTTCTCAATACGTTTGTTGAGATTGAGAATATTGAAAGTGATTGAAAATTGATTTGGCTTCCTCTTTGGTGGTACGGTTTGGCTTTTCCTTTTTATTTCTTTTATTATTATTTTGTTTTTTATATACACATATACATAGGCTAAAAAATAAAAAAGGGCCCCTTTCAGCTTTGGGCCCCGGGCCAAGGCCGGCTCTGGTAACATGAAAATCAATATTAAATAGGAATAGAAAAATCAACATTAATATTATCCTATTAATATAGGAGAAGCCAAAACAATCGATACCAGCATAATAAGCTCACCTGGATCTGTTTGTACCAAAAACAAGAAGAACAAAAAAACCGAACACATATTATATATGTTTCTGTTGCATAACTAATAATTGAATGAAATGGTCTTACATCAGGATACAACATGTGTTGCGGGGCTTTTCAGTTTCCTCCAAAAGAATGGGAGAATGGGGGAATGTGGGGATGGGTGTGAGACTGATTCACCGGAGCCATGACCATGCAAGTAGATCAAGTCACAGACACCTCAGCCAAAAAATGTTCGAAACGACACTATCATTTATCCCTTTAGCTGTTTTCATCACGTTTTCCTCCTTTTGTTGATTCAACGTTTAACACCTGCGAAATCAAATCATTTAGCCCATCAACATAGGCAACCTCTCCTCTCTCGTTCTATCTTTATCTGTTTGTGGTCATCAAATAAGCACCTCATTTTGCATGACTTGTTTTAACGGACTCAATGCCTTATCAGGTATCTTCTCTCAACCTGCCTTCTTCTTTTTCAGTGGCTCAAGAAGCTTGTTAGAGCAAGGGGAAGGGGAGACAAGGGCTATTACTATTTACGTAAATAGTGGCAGTTCTCGCAAAAGGCTTGTTGTGTTTCCACCTATTACAATAGCAATCACTATTCACATGAGATATGAGGTGAGGAATTTGTATACAGTTTTGATGTGAGAAGTGAAAAATATGACTAAGTATTTATTTTTTAAAAATCCCGAAATTTTTAATATTTTTTGATTGCTAACATCATCGCTGATATCAGCAAACTCAAGTTATTGTAAGAACTGGTTTGTCTGAGGGCCAGCTCAATCTCGTGGGACCCACGACTTGCAAGGACAAACTTGGCCCGCTGGAAGGACGCGCTGTCCTACCCGGGCTGCTGTCTATTACTGGAATCGGTCTTATATCTGACACATTTATATTGTTAATTTGGCTTTTTTTTCAATGTCTTCTACTTAAACAACATTTTCTTTGCATTGGGGTTCCTGAACCTATCTTTCTGGAATTCACGGGCATGGATGGCCCCACACTTCATTGTTTTTTTTATGCTAGTGTTCAAATTGTATTGGACTCTTCTTAAATCGGATGCACGTGAACAGTGATGAGACCTCCGTGGCTAAATAGGATTATGTGTTTGAAAATGCCAAATGCGAAAATTCTGTGGTACATCGATTGTACCGGTACAATCACTCATCCAATGGTTCATATTATTTTAAAAATCACGGGCTGAGATTGAATGACCTGATAACTTGTTTAGCCATTTTTCTTAAGGAGCACGTGAAATCCACGTGACTGAGAAAATAAAGAATAACCCCTCGCGTGCACCGGAGCTACTTCATCTCATCTCTGCGATCTCTCTCAGAAATCCAAGCTTCATCTATGTCCCCAGATCAGAATCTGGGCGTCCCATCTCTGCCGACACCGAGATGCAACAGCCATCGGAGAGGAGATAGAGAGACAGCGGTGCTTCGAAGGCGAAAAAGTGTCAGTTCAAAAGCCTAGGCCGAAGCTGACCTCACCTACGTCCTCCGCCACCAGCAGTCGAACAAGGCTCTCCAAATGATCAACAGGGTATTATGCTCTGTCATTATCTTATTTTTGTATAATAGCTCAAATTCAACAGTGTCTCAGCTCTTAGGCTACAGCTTGAACAATGTATTGAGTGCATATTGCCTGAGTTGTTTGGTATTAATTGGAAGGATTGAAGGATGCAATTACTCTACTGCAACAAAAGACCTGTCAAGAAAATTGAAAAAAGAAAAACAATTCCTCTGTAAAACCTTTTGGCTTTTTATCACAAAACGTCCCTGACGTTTACAAAACTATCAGATTGCAGCCTTAAAGTTTTTTTTATCACTCATGGTACCTAACGTTAATATGGGTGCTCTTAAATAGTCCCTCCGTCAAAAAAACTGTTAAATCTCTATTTTATGAGGGATATAATCGTCAAATCAATCTCTTTTGACCTCTTCAATGCCTCAAACCCATTTGCCACCAATTTGGAACCATTTCCCTCCATTTCTTGTTGTTTTTTTTTTTGCTAATCAACAAAATTCTATTTTTTTATTATCTACAACTTCACCTTAAGAGCTCTTGGTACAACTTCACCTCAACAAAAGTCCCCTGGTATAACAATGCTATGACTTCACCAACTTATCTCGTTGGCTTAGGGATTATGAAAGCTGAGCTGCATTCATATGAACCTGTTCTAGCACAGAGAAATGGTCAAAGGTGGAAGAAGTGTTTCAGCCTTTTCTTAGTGTTGTCAAATTTGTTTTGGAAAGATGTTCCTGAAGATGTCCCATTCTTGCATGGAAATGACGGTCACATGGAGTTCCCTGTGAGTTGGAACAGACAGTCATCGTATTTTCAAAGTAGTAACAGCGGAGTGGTTTGTTTATTCATTTTGCTCTATTTTTTACTTCATTTATATGGCGAGTGTTGTATACTACTTCTGTTTATTTACTTGGTGTGTTGCATCTTCTAGTGCTATGAATTCTTTGAACTTCTTGTGCTGTGAATGATATTCCTTGTTTGGGAACTTATTTGTATCACAATCTCAATTCTCCTATTCACCATATTCTTGGACTGTTATATTTTGTGTTGTTTTTTATTTAGTTCGAAATCTTTACTGTGATGAATTGTTGCTCTAAAATTATTTATTGAATACTTGAGGCAAGGGACTTAGGTCCATCTATCTGTATAAGATGAGAGCTTGTGAGAATTCCCTGTAAATGTCTCCTCACGACCACCCCGGCCCCCTCTATTCTTTTTGCTCTTGTTTTGGCATATTGATGATTGATGTGTGATGCGATCTTTATGATTTACGCTTGAATGCCTGTACTTTTTAGTGTTCTTCATTTGTTATTGCTGATTAACAACAACCCTCTTTGACGAACGACTTTACTAAGGTGCTATCCAAGCACCCAGGAAGCATAAAAGGTGAAGTTGTAGATAATAAAAAATAGATATTTGTTGATTAGCAAAACAAACCAACAAGAAACGGAGGGAAATGGTTCCAAATTGGTGGCAAATGGGTCTGAGGCATTGAAGAGGTCAAAAGGGATTGATTTGACGATTATATCCCTCATAAAATAGGGATTTAACAGTTTTTTTGACGGATGGACTATTTAAGAGCACCCATATTAACGTTAGGGACCATGAGTGATACAAAAAAACTTTAAGGATGCAATCTGATAATTTCACAAACGTCAGGGATGTTTTGTGATAAAAAGCCAAACCTTTTTTTTTGAGTAACCGACTGATAGTTACATATTCATTAATAACTATGGTAATGGAATCCTTAGAGGTTGAGGTTTTAACTCAATTAAGACAGATGACAGATGAAGGTAGTGAAAATCGTATGACAGATAGCACGAATGAAAGCTAGCAGATTTAAGGTCCTTGAGGGAGGCGCCGCCAATTGCAGGTGGCTTGGGGTTCTATTTTTCTTCTGTCGTGTTCTAAATTATGTTTCATTGTGCTGAGCTGTGGATGGCAATTGAACTCATGGATATAGGCATCAAGGCAGAACGTTCTTTTAACCTGTTACCCAAAGCAGCAGGTTCCCATTGTTTTAAAAAAACATCACATGCCTATCATGGTGAGTGGTTGTACCGGTACAATCGATGTACCACATAATTACTCATGGAAATATAGAGCACATACATTAATAACTATGGTAATGGAATCCTTAGAGGTTGAGGTTTTAACTCAATTAAGACAGATGACAGATGAAGGTAGTGAAAATCGTATGACAGATAGCACGAATGAAAGCTAGCAGATTTAAGGTCCTTGAGGGAGGCGCCGCCAATTGCAGGTGGCTTGAGGTTCTGTTTTTCTTCTGTCGTGTTCTAAATTATGTTTCATTGTGCTGAGCTGTGGATGGCAATTGAACTCATGGATATAGGCATCAAGGCAGAACGTTCTTTTAACCTGTTACCCAAAGCAGCCGGTTCCCATTGTTTTAAAAAAACATCACATGCCTATCATGGTGAGTGGTTGTACCGGTACAATCGATGTACCACATAATTACTCTTGAAAATGATAGACCTTTCTGCACGTTAAATGAATATCTAATTTTCTTTTAGGCAAAAGGAACCTTTCCTTGTGTGCATGTGAGCATGTGCTATTTACGGCCGCAGTCTTGGGCATTTTATATAGGAAAATATTTTTACTTACCACTTTAACTTAATATGTATCCTTTATTCTTGACACATGTCTATTTTGTTACAGTAACAACTTTCATTTTGGTTGTAAGTTATAGAAATATAGAGCACATGCTGTTTTTGTTATTTTCGTATATTAGCTAATCAAATTTGAAGATAAGTTTCTGTCCGTTGACAGCATACTGTCGTATTCTTTTGTTTTTGTTTCGCCTGTATATGTATTTCCATGTTCTGTGTATCTATAAAATACTACCTGTGCAAAAATTCGTACACTTTTTTAGAAAACAAACTTTTTCTGGTCCTACTTGGTTTCGAGCTGTATTGATTGACTGTCCTCTGAATCCACCGAACGTGTTAATGATTCTTTATTAGGGCAAAACAAATATGGCGCACAGTTGACACCTTTAACTATTTAAAAGACTAAATATATACACATAATTTCACAAGCTTTACATATATGTCCTAGGATCCATTCTTACTCTCCTGCTCAAGAGTTCAACTTCTCTCTCTCTCTCTCTCTCTCTCTCTCTCTCTCTCTCTCTCTCTCTCTCCCTTCACCAAAGGATGAGTGTCCAGATAAATCATCCTTGACCTTGCCTCTTATCCTTGATGAGGGACAACATGAGCCTGCAAGCAATAAGGTAGAACAAGTAGAGTCTAACTTTCATCATGAATCTACAGCTACAACCTCTTTTCTCAAAACCTTTTTCAATGGACTCAATGCGCTGTCAGGTAATCTCCTTCTTTCTCATAACAAGTTCTTTCTTTTTCCAAATCAATTTTTGACAAGCTAGGTTAATAATTAATTAATTAAGGCATAAACTGTTATTATAGTTGGGTGTTCTTGCTTGGTATCTTTGACGAGAATTAGATAACCTGACTCAATGCGCTGTTTCTGTCTTGATATCTTTGTATGATTTCCTATTGTTACATTTTCATCTAAATTGCTTTTCAGTACTAGCTCAAGCAAAATATAAGTTTTAATGCCAAAGTTGTACTTTGTTTTTTGGTTTTCAGGAGTAGGGATACTCTCAGTTCCTTATGCATTATCATCAGGCGGATGGTTTAGCCTGATACTTCTTTTCGCAATCGCCGCTTCATGCTTTTATACAGGCTTGCTAATTAAAAGATGCATGGATATGGATTCTAGTATCAGAACTTATCCGGATATCGGCGAACGTGCATTTGGGAACAAGGGAAGGATATGGTTGTCATTTGTCATGAACATAGAACTCTACTTAATTTCAACAGGTTTACTGATTTTGGAAGGGGACAACTTGCATAACATATTTCCAGGCGTGGAATTGGAAGTGGCTGGTTTAAGAATTGGTGGAAAATATTGCTTTATAGTTGTTGTTGCCCTTATTATTCTCCCAACAGTTTGGTTAGATAACTTGAGCCTTCTTTCTTATGTCTCTGCAAGTGGGGTTTTAGCCTCTGCAATCATCCTTGGTTCAATTCTGTGGATTGGTTCTTTCGATGGAATTGGATTTCATCAAGCGGGGTCACCAGTTAACTGGAATGGAATCCCTACTGCTGTTAGCTTATATGCCTTTTGTTATTGTGCTCATCCAGTGTTCCCTATCTTGTACACTTCAATGAAAAACAAGCATCAGTTCTCCAGTGTAAGTAAAACATGTCACCTGAGTTTCATAATTCTTAAATGACATTCTTACTATTTTGCTTCAGCATGCTTTGGAAATTCTGATCTGTTGTTTATTTGTTGCAGGTCCTCCTCCTCTGCTTTATCCTATGCACCATTACTTATGCATCAATGGCAGTTTTTGGCTACCTAATGTTTGGTTCAACGGTTCAATCACAAATAACTTTAAACCTCCCAACTCGAAACGTTAGCTCAAAAGTCGCCATATTCACGACCCTGGTGAATCCAATATCCAAATATGCTTTGATGGCTACTCCAATCGTGAATGCTGTCAAGAAGAAGTTTCCAAGTCACTACAATAAAAGGTTCATTGGCCTATTAGTCAGCACTACCTTAGTAATCAGCACTGTAATAGTAGCTTTGGCTATACCCTTTTTCGGGTCTCTCATGTCACTTGAGTGTGACAGGTTCAATTGTATTCCCATGCTTTTGCTACCTGAAACTTTCAGGTACGTATCGAAGATTCGGATGTGAGGTGTTGATTATAGGGTGCATATTACTACTAAGTGCTGCAGTTATTGTATTTGGCACTTACACTGCTCTAGTAGAAATAATAGGGAGCTTGTGAGTCGTACCAATGACGTCTTTGTTGATAGTTTTCTCGTTCTTTCCTCTGTTTTTTTTCTTCTTTTGGGATAGTGTATGGTGATTGATTAGTGAGTTTTAAAACAAGGAATGCTTAGCTTGTTACAACCTGCTGCACTTTGTATTACTCTGTTTGAGTTTTTGCTTTATAGGTTATTTAGATATATCCCCACAAAATAGCGTGGGGAATAATACAGGGAGCCCTTCGAAGAAAACCTTGGTTAGGGGTGTTGTCAATTTTGATTTAAGGTATAGACATGCATGGACATACAGACATTGAAAAAATGACAGTAGTTGTGGTAGAACAATAGATACAGAGCTCATAGAGAAAAATTACTGATAAGAGCAATGTTTTGGTAAATCAGCACTGCGCTATTCCATTAATAAAATTTTGAAATTAATAGAGGTTGCATGGCAACTGATTTTGATTACATGTTAACCAATTCCATGTGCAAGCTCAATACATCTAGTAACTGGTAGATGCCCTCATAATCAGCTCGAGAATCATAGCCAGAAAAGAATTTATGGATGGACCCGCCTAACTCAATGCAACTCTCCCCTGCCGTCTTCTTCACCCGTCTTTCTTTCATAACCTTCCTCAAATTGGCCGCTTTCTCCCACATCCCAACTTCAGCATACATGTTTGCGACCATCACAAGATTCCCTCCCCTGCTTGGCTCCAATTCAAGCAACTTCTCACTTACTTTATTTCCTACCCCTTCATTGTCATTAGCATCACGCGTATTGCATGCACTAAGCAATGTTCTCCATACAATGGGGTCGGGGTCAAAGGGCATGCTCATGATGAAGCTATAAGCCTCGTTCAGACGGCCAGCACGACCTAAGATATCAACCATGGCACCGTAGTGTATCATCATGGGTTTAATCCCATGCACATGTTCCATATCGTGAAAGTATTGGTACCCATCATCCACCTGTCCAGCATGGCTACAAGCACAGAGGACGCCAAGAAAAGTGACATAATTCGGGCATACTGAGAAGTTCAACATCTTTGGGAAAAGTTCAAGGGCTTCCTTGGCAAACCCATGCTGGGCTAGTCCTAGAATCATTGCACTCCATGTACACACATTCCGCAACTCCATTCTATCAAAAACTAGCCTGGCATAAACCAAAGCCCCAGATTTTGCATACATGTCAACAAGTGCAGTACCCAATTGACAATTCAAAATCAAACCCTTTCCAATTACTTGGGAGTGAACCCATTTCCCCAAGCTCAAGTTCCCAAGCTCCGAGGACGCGTTCAACATGACCACCATTGTAGTCTCATCGGGCTCAAACCGACAATTCCTCATCTTTACAAAATACCCAATCCCCTCATCTAACCAGAAATTCTCAACGCAAGCAGTTAGAACCGCATTCCACGAAACAACAGTTCTCACCGACATTCCATCGAACACACGCTGTGCATCCTTAATCTTCTTACAAGCCCCATAAAAATGAACCAAGTTGTTCTGAACATACACATCACAGTCCAAACCGCACTTCACAACGCCTACATGTACTTGCCTCCCTTCTTTAAGGGCGGCGACCGAAGCGCAAGACTTGATCAGAAAAGGAAAGGTAAGTTGGTTGGGTCTAATACCCCGGCCGAGCATTGCACGAAAGACCCAGATGGCCTCTCTGGGCGTGTCGCTCGAGGCATAGCCTCTGATGAGGAAGTTCCACGAAGAAGGTGGTGAAGACTCGGAGTGGTCGAGAAGGGTTCGAGCGTAGTTGAAGTTTTTGGAGGGAGACAAAGCGCAGAAGCGAATGAGTTGGGTTAGGAGAAAGTGGTCTCTTTGCAAGCCAGAGACTTGGATTTGGGCATGAACCTGAGAGAATTGTTTGAATGTGAAGCAGAGGTTGAGGAGATAGAGACATTGCTGCTTCTTGGAGCCAAAGTTTGAATTAGAGTTATTGGCGGTTGGGATCGGAATCCGAACCATGCATTTGGGATCAAGGGATTGGATTTTGGGTCTTGTCTCGGCAACACTCGCACTCACATATCACAACAAAAGTAAAACAGACGACATGTCGTTTGTCAAAAAATGGTCACATAAGTGCTTTTGGCTGGTACATATAAAAAAAGAATTAGAGCCAATGATTTTTAGCCATTGATCTAAGCTTTAATATATGCAGATGCAGGCTCCTATATTGTCTAGCTAGAATGCTAGATATCATATCTCTTCTACCTGTATGCGACAACAAAACGTTTGTACATATTTTGTGGCATTCTATATATGTATGCCTAGGCTTCAATCATCTCCCGTACAGATTTCCTATCTAACTTCGCCACAGAAATATCAGTAAATTCAGACAGAATTGCTCTGAATTCATCTCCTGTGAGGATCTCCTTTTCTAAAAGCACTTCTACTAATTTATCCATGGCCTCCCTGTTGTTCCTCACATGGTTCTTTGCCATTTCATATGCACTCTCAATTATATGTCTCACTGACAAATCAATGTCTTCAGCGAGCTTTTCAGACATGCTGTTTCTTGCTAGCAATCTCAGCACTACATCGCTGCTTTGCGTTGCGGGGTCTGTCAATGCCCACGGTCCAATCTCAGACATGCCAAACATTGTTACCATCTGTAAATATAGCAATCTAGTTAATTTGGTATATAAGGATGGATTTTGGTTGTTAGTTTCTTGACAATTAAAATTCCATTAATAAAAGTATGTTTGAGGTGTTTGAATGTAAATTATGTACCCGTCTTGCTATCTGTGTGATTTGTTGCAAGTCTCCCGCTGCACCAGTTGTTATTTCTGGCTCCCCAAAAATCACTTCCTCTGATGCCCTACCTCCTAACCCTCCAACTATTCTAGCAAACAGTTGTTGCTTAGAAATAAGAGAAGGATCTTCATCCGGTATGAACCATGTAAGGCCACGAGCTTGGCCACGGGGAATAAGAGAGACCTTCTGCACTGGATCATGGCCTGGGGTCAGTGTCCTGCAATTGACAAAGAATGTAGAACATTTTAGCTCAAAAGTCTTAGGAAGAACAAAAGAAATAGTTCTTGTATATGAAGAATATATGTTTTCACTTACGCACAAATAGCGTGGCCAACTTCATGGTAAGCCACAAGAACTTTGCTCTTTCCATCTGTCATTTTTGTCCCCTCCATCCCAGCCACAATCCGATCGATTGAGTCATCGATTTCCTTCATTGTTATCTTGTTTTTGCCTCTCCTACCAGCAAGGATGGCAGCTTCATTCATGAGGTTTGCAAGGTCTGCACCACTGAAACCAGGAGTTCTCATGGCAATAACACTAAGAGAAACATCCTTGTCAAGCCTCTTGTTCTTGCTATGCACCTTTAATATCTCTTCTCTTCCCCTTATATCTGGTAGCCCAACAGTGACCTGCCCAAGAAATAACAAACAAAAAAATGCATGAACTTTGAATATCAAATGATTGCCTAAAGACTCAAATTTTTTTTTGCAGAGCTTGGAAAACAAACAGCAGCTAGCTTACTTGTCTGTCAAATCTGCCAGGCCTAAGCAAAGCAGAATCGAGAATTTCAGGGCGGTTAGTAGCAGCAATAACAATCACTCCGCTGTTCCCACTAAACCCATCCATTTCAGTAAGCAACTGATTGAGTGTTTGCTCTCTCTCATCATTTCCCCCACCAATTCCTGTTCCTCTCTGCCTCCCTACAGCATCTATCTCATCAATGAAAACCAAGCATGGGGAATTGGCTTTAGCCTTGTTGAATAAATCCCTCACTCTAGAAGCTCCTACTCCTACAAACATCTCTATGAACTCTGACCCTGACAAAGAAAAGAAAGGGACCCCTGCTTCTCCTGCTATGGCCTTGGCCAGCAGTGTCTTTCCAGTCCCAGGTGGCCCTACTAAAAGAACCCCTTTGGGAATTCTTGCTCCAACAGCAGAAAACTTCTCTGGAGTTTTCAAGAATTCAACAATCTCTTGGAAATCTTGCTTTGCTTCATCAACCCCTGCTACATCATCAAATGTTACCCCTGTATTAGGCTCCATTTGAAATTTGGCTTTGCTCCTGTTGATCCATATATATATACAGCACAAAAACCATGTCAAATATTCAGTTGTATTAAATCATAAACATAAAAAACTTAAAACTAGCTTATGCTGTAGATAAGAAACTTGGTGATTTTATACCTTCCAAGTCCAAAAGGCAAGTTGGGGCCTCCTGGTGTATTTGTAGAACTAGCTCTGAACAGCAATGTTCCAAATAGTATTAATGGAAAAGCAAAATTTCCCAACAAGTCTAGAACTGCTGGCAACCAGTTGATTTCCATAGGATGAGCTGCAAAATCTACGTTCTTTTCTTTCATCTTCCTCAGCAACTCTTGTGGCAATCCAGGTAACTGAACCTTGACCCTTTGGATCTTATCTAATGTGGGATTGAAGATCTCGGCGATTGCAACAGTTCCATTCTCAAACAAGTCCACCTTCTTAACAGCGTCTTCATCCAAGTACTGCAAGAATCTTGAGTATGACATTCTGCTTGAAGTTGATGCAACTGGGCTCTCTGGCTCTGGCTCTGCTCTTGCAGGCTTAGAAACAGAGAGGGCCCCAGCTTCTACTAGGCCCAGTGTAGTGGAGTTTAAAAGCGATCTCCTACTAAATTTGAAGTATGAGTGAGTTCGGTGACATGGGTTTTGTCTATTGGGGTTTTTTGGAAGGTGGGTTTCCTTTGAAATGTCCTGAGATTTGCAGAGTGGAGAGAGGGAGACGGACAGAGACAGAGCAGGTGACATATTTCGAGAGGCTTAAAGGTTGAAGCTCTGGTATGAGCAATTTTAGTGTGCACTGTAAACTGGTTCGGTTTGGAGGGAATGTCAAAGTATTGTTTAATATGGGAGACATTGGAGGCTTCCAGCAACTTCAGTTTGGCTTATTCTTGAGTGGATACTTTGCCTTCAAATTTTCCATTTCATTCCTGAATCGTCTAGAATATCAACTTTATTAGATTTATGGGCATGAATGAGTAATCAGTCTTTTAAATTTTGGTGACTAGGAAATCTTCTAATCTCCCTCTCTCAACCACACACTTGGAATGATGTGGTCCATTTGTTTGTCCAAATTAAGCACATTTTCATAGGT